CGAAGACGCAGACACCAAAATGCATCACATACTTGGCCTCAAGGAGGCACCAGCAAGTATCCCAGGCTTGAAACCGTTCAGATGTTGGTGTCTGATTACATGGAATGAAGGTAGAAATTAATAATAACTAGAGAATCCACGGCCTGGAAATGACACAGTGAAGTTCTATATAATTTAGAGACCAAGGGTTTCAAAATGTGACAAGGAAGTGACAACAACGAAAAATGGCAGATGAGCCTGTTTTATGATCACATTACAAAATTTTTCAACAAAATGTTAGTAAATGAAATCCTGTGTCAGATGGAGAGAAAAATGCAACATCTTCGAGTCTGTTCCAGCTATGAAAGGGTGGGTGAAAACTGAAAATGTAATAGTTATATTAATAGTAATAATAATAATAATAATGTTATTCACAGCATTAGCAGAAAAAGGAGATATCATTTTGTGGATTAAAAAAAAGTATGGTAAAAATTTCCACACATTAGGAATAGAAGGAAATGTTCCGGGTCTCAATGGGGTGTGGGTCACATGGCCTCAGGCCTTCCAGAAACGCATCCAACCACAGCTTAAGATCGGGCATGTCTCTCGATACAAATTCTACTTGAACTTGAAGGAAAAATGCTGCCTTGAGTCCACTCTTCTTTTTACAAGGTTGGTAAAATCTGCAGGTTTGGTAAACATGCTGTGTGACGGAGGCCGAGCCGGCCCTCCCAACACCCCCTCCCCAGGAGCCTGGTCAGGTGGGGCAGCCCCTCCCCCATGCCCTCTGGGGATCTGGGGGACTGCTGGCTGCGCCCCCTTCTCCGTCACCCGTGGCCTGAGCCCAGGGCCCACGTCTGGGCCTCCTGGTCTCGTCCAGCCTCTGCTTTCCCAGCCTGGCGGCCAGGGAGTCGGCACAGCCCCCTCTTCTGTGAGGAGGAGGAGGAAACCCTTCAGAACCTGCGTGAGGCCAAGGCTCCCAGCTGACCGACCGCAGCGTCACGTAACTGCAGCCATGGCCAAGGCAGCTACCTTGACTCCTGCCCTCAGTCCCCCGAAGGCCCCGCCAGCCCACCTCGCCCTCGTTCACAGGTCAGCGTCTGTGGCTGTTCCAACGCCGCCGGTGACAGCGCCAGTTTTCTCTCCCTCTCAAAACTCGATTTCTCCTTTTCTTTGTTTTGTTTGTTTGTTTGTTTGTTTTTGTTGTTTTTTTTTGTTTTTTTTTGCAAACAGCTCAAGAAATGCCACTTAGGGCCTCTCCTGGTGGCGCAGCGGTTGAGCGCTGGGTTGCGAGGCTGCCCGCAGCCCCTGCAGAGCCAGTTCGATCCCTGGCCACCAGCGAGGGTCCCACAAAAAAAAAAAAGAAACGCCACCTAAGGCAGACTCCTATAAAAACGTGTCTTTGAGTACCGTGCCGCTTCTCTCCTCCTCAGATGTGCTGAGTTGCCTGACAAGGGAAAACCTTGCTCATTACATCTGAGCTGGCTGGAAAGTCTTTGCTGACAGGTGTTTGTGAGGCCCCTCAGAAGGTCCCAGGTGGACTCTTGGCCCACGTCAGAACACCAGCTGGCTTCCAGAACAGTCTCCCGAGACCGCCTGCCCCTCCTGGGGCTTCCAGGGGCCCGGCCGTTCTCATGTCCTGTCCTGCTTCAGGTGGGATTTCCGACTCCTGCAGGGAAGGTGCCTGGCTCCACGGCAACTTAGCCATGTGCTGCTTCCTTACCGCCCATCCCAGGCTTTTTGACTTCAGTGATTTCCTGATCTTGAATCTTAGCTTACAATTTCTGGGACCCCAAACCACCTTTCCTGGGGCCCTGGGCCAGGTTCTGGCAGCTATGGAAGCAAGGGGGTGGGTGGGGATCAAGGATCTTTTTGGAAACCAAATCTGCAGTTCTCAGGGAGGGGGCTGCAAGTACCAGGAGCAAATGTGGGTGCTGCTCACTCCTTTCGAAGACGAAGTAGCTGTGCTCCCACCATTGCTGGGGAGGAGGAAGAGCAGGTCTCTCACCCCGGTGAAGGTGCTGAGGTGAGAGGCCTCAGGTGTATCTGGCAGCCCGCCCCAAGTCCCAGGGAAGCACAGGCCTGGGAGCGGGTCCCGGGTATGTTTTCAGTACCCATTGGTGTGAGATGAGCTCAGCGTGGCCAGTGGAAGAGAACCGTCCTCGCGTGCTGCAGCCCACCCTTGTTCCTGCTGAACAAACAGAGGACACTTGATTTTGAGGCAACACGGTGTTTAATCACTGGGATAGAAGAAGCATCACAAAGCACAGTAACAACAAGGTCCTGGGGGACAGACGCCAACTGTACCCAGAGTCTGGCATATGCCGGTAGGGCTTCCCCAGCTTCGTGGTCTCATTGTTGATCCACACCAGGTAATTAGCCACCTTCGTGTACACGCCAGGCCGTTTCTCCCAGGCACATCCCAAGCTCCAGCTGACGATGCCCACCTGGTACCAGATCGTTTTGTTGTTTACTTTCTGGCAAGCCAAGGGGCCCCCATTTTCACCCTAGGAGAGAAAAAGTTGTTTGGGAGTGGAAGGGACAATAGCACGTCACGCCCACAGCCTATGGAGGCAGAGCCGCGGCACCAAAGCTCTGTGCAGCGCTTTGATGGTGGCACGTGTATATAGTTTGGATTCAAAGCTGCAGCTGCCTGCCTGTGCTCCCAGCTCTGCAGTGGTCACCCAAGGCCACAATCTGGTCAAAAGCAATGGTCACAAATGGCAATTTGGTCAAAAATAAATATCCATTGTTCTCATCACCACTGCCACCACCATCATCACCACCACCATCATCACCACCATCACCACGATCATCACCACCGTCATCACAATTATCATCACCACCATCATCACCACCACATCATCACCACCGCCATCATCACCACCATCATCACAATTATCATCATCACCATCATCACCACCGCCATCATCACCACCGCCATCATCACCACCGCCATCATCACCACCATCATCACAATTATCATCATCACCATCATCACCACCGCCATCATCACCACTGGCATCATCACCACCGCCATCATCACCACCACCATCATCATCACCATCACCACCATCATCACAATTATCATCACCACCATCATCACCACCGCCATCATCACCACCGCCATCATCACCACCGCCATCATCACCACCATCATCACAATTATCATCATCACCATCATCACCACCGCCATCATCACCACTGGCATCATCACCACCGCCATCATCACCACCACCATCATCATCACCATCACCACCATCATCACAATTATCATCACCACCATCATCACCACCGCCATCATCACCACCGCCATCATCACCACCGCCATCATCACCACCGTCATCACAATTATCATCACCACCATCATCACCACCGCCATCATCACCACTGGCATCATCACCACTGCCATCATCACCACCACCATCATCATCACCATCACCACGATCATCACCACCATCATCACAATTATCATCACCACCATCATCACCACCGCCATCATCACCACCGTCATCACAATTATCATCACCACCATCATCACCACCACCATTATCACCATCTCCATCATCACCACCACCATCATCACCACCGCCATCATCACCACCGCCATCGTCACTCCGTTGCATGTGTTCATTCTGGTGTGCCAAAGAGTAAGTTTTCTAGTCCATCTTGCCTCTAAGCACTTTTTTAGCTGTCTCAATTTGCTCTTGCTGTCTTGTTTATAACAGCAAAAAGCAGACACAAACCTGCATCCTGCCTCAGAAGGGGTTGCTGGTTGAATATAACAGGCACGCTAGCTGATACGTGCAAATGCAAAAAAAAAATACAAAAGCTGTGTCAAAATATTGCACTGGGATTTAAAAACATTAAATTTTAAACAGTTTTTAACATCATGAAAGAGACTGATGAATAATCACAAGTAAGTGGGACAGACAACACTCTCTGAAAAGTGAGAAATACCCGCTCTCATGCCCCAAACCTTTTGGGGCCGTGTTGAAAACTCTATTAAAGATTCATGGAACTTTATAAAGTAATCAGGATATTCAAATAAGGAAAAGGAACATGCGGTCTACCGAAAATGACATCCGTCAGTAAGGACCCAGACACACACGCTCACGCGTGCCGAGAGAGTATTTCCGGAAGAGGGGAGCAGGCGACGGTGCTTTCTCTGGGGAGTGGGCTGGAGAAGAAATAGAGGAAGGCACCGCACACATCTGTCTCACTGGAACTTTCTTTACTATGAGCTCAGATGAAATCAACGTCTCTGACTCAGAGCATGAAGAGGCAACTCCTTAGTCAAATCTAACTTTCCACATCCCTGGTGTCTGCAAATACCCATCATTATTAATAGGACCTTTATCATGATTAGGATCAGGCAGGACATACCGCCACGTAACAGACCAAGATTTATTTCTGAGAACATTAAAGACACACAGAGAAGGCGAAAAGGCCACCCTTCGGTGCTTCCCCCAAATCCAAATCCAAAGCGACCAAACCAAAAAGGCAGGATATGGATTTATTTGATTTTTTTTAAACCACATTTTTTAAATCAAATTTTATTGATTTGCCATGCATTTACAAAACTATATAATTTGGGAGCACAACTTCACCCCTTGGCCTGTGCACGTGCTCTGCTCCCCCAAGCTCCCCTGAACTCCCGCACCCCCCTCGGCGCTCCTCTCTAGGCCATCACAGCCTTACACAGTTTGAGTTACTTTTGTTGTTCAACCAGATGGTTCTCATGAACATCGCTGTGCCCATGAACTTGGACCCAGCTGTCCTTTACCAGATTCCTGGAGGTCCCTGCCACGGCCCGTGACCTGCCGTTAGCGCGAGGAAGTCCACCACCCCAAGGCGAGGGCTGCGTGACGTCCCGCGCACCACGGGGCACTTTCGGGAGCCCAGCGGACCTTGGCTCCAGCCCTGGCTGAACACTTAGGCTGGAAGGATGGGAGAATTTCCTCAGCTCTCGAAGGCTCGGTTTTTATGCAGGAGGTAACCAGCCATCACCCCTCCCCGGCCGGACACCGCCGTCCGTCACTGAGCTGGGCAGCACTGGGCCCTGAACACCCATCATTTTTGTGGGTGTTCATCCAAGCAAACTTGGGCTTGGCCAGACTGCACTGCTAGATGGGGAGCCCCCTTTCTACCGGAACCCCAGATGGCTCTCTAGCTGCAAAACCTAGGCCCGTTAGACTCTGGGTCTGTAATTTGCCGCCCTGCCGGGTCCTCTGCCAGGCGGTCGGCTTCCCTGCGCCTTAGTCTTTCCATCGCCCGTCGTGTGCCTAGTTCATGTGCGCTTGTGTGTCTGCAGGAGCAGTTCTGGGCACTGGACAGGTGAGCGAGGTGGTGATCGATAAAGCCACATCTTCACGCTGCTGGTGACCCCCGATGCTCTGCATGCACCTCCAAAGCACTTCGCATGGGGTGTTGACTTAGTTTTGGCGACAGTTCTCAGTGGTAGGAGATCTCAGTACTTCCCCTTTGGAGATGAGAGATCGGGAAGGCCCTGGTAGTGGGGGCGGGGAGAGTCACAGGCAGTGGGCAGAGGAGCCAGAGGGGGCCCAGGGGAGCCCCAGCCGCTGGCCTGCACTGCCTCCCTTGGGCTACAGAGCATCTGTGCCACCTCAGTGGGATCTCCCCCAAGTTCATGTCCACCCAGAACCTCGAATCCAACCTCGAGACTTTGCAGGCACAATTAGCTAAATGAAGATGAAGTCCCACTGGCCTGGGGTGAGCGCCAACCCAGCGACTGGTCCCCCTCGGGAGAAAAGAAAGCAGAGGAGAGACACGGGGGTAGGCGCCCCGGGAAGGCGGCTGCAGAGGTTGGGAAGAGGTGTCCAGTGCCAGGAGTGACCAGGAAGGCCGGGCGGGGCCCTCGCCAGAGCCTTCACAGGACGGTCCCCACGGACATCAGCTCTGCACTGCCGCCTCCAACCCGGGAGAGAAGCCCCTGCGGCCGCTCTCGCCCACCCATTGGAGACGGCTGGTGACAGCAGCCTAGGAGCCCAGCCGGAGGGGGGCAGGCCGGGCACGGTCATTACCTGGCAGGCGTCCTTGTTGCCGTGGGAATTCTGGGCACACAGCATGTTCTTGGTGATCAGGGGAAGCACGGGGAAGCACTTCTTCCATGGGACCAGCTCCATGCTGACCTTCTGCAGGGGAGCTGCCCCAGGGGAGAGGCAGGGGGGCAGTGTTGAGGAGGCCACCCGCCTACCTATGTCTCCTTACCTCAATGCCAGAGAGCACCCCGGGGCCCACAGAACAACCTACACGTGGGCTGAAGGAGGAAAGGGTGCAGGGGTGTCGGGGACACCCAAGGCCCACCCACGCTGAACCAGAGCTCCCAGGCCCAGGTCTCAGCCCGAGCGGGCCCTCTCCTCACCCCGCTGAAGGTTCCAGGCCCCAGGGAGGGTCCCAGAATGGTGTTTCACTGCAGTCCGTGAGGATGTGACGAGAACCCACGACATGGGGTCCCTGGCACAGAGATGGACTTGGGTCCCTTGAAGGGTGGAGGTGAGCCCAGCACCTAGACGCCCCCCGGCCGGGGGTGGCCGGTTGCTGAGTCCCCAGAGCACCGCCCGGGACATGGAGGCGGCCAGCGAAGAACGAAGCATCAGAGCCCGGAGCTGAGCGGGTGACTCTCTTTTTGCCCCGTTGGGAGCTCATGAAAAGCCCCTTCCCAAACAGGACTTCTAAAAGGGCTCTGAGCTGTGGGGGCACCTGGGTGCCAGCATGGAAGGGCAGCATGGGCTGGAAAACGTTTATTCTGCCCTTTGGATTACAGGGCAAGGCACACTGACCACGAAGAAAGACAAAAGGGCACTGTGGTGGGGCTTGGCGGGGAACGTGGCAGGAGCAGGCCCGGGTCTCTCTAGAAAGATGCATTTATAGTCATTTATCTCCTTCTCCTCGGCCTGGAATTGTGGTTTTCAAATATTTTAGCCACCGAGCTCTCCACCCAGGGGCTATGTGTGACATCCATTGGCGCAGCGCTGGGCTGGGGGCACCCATGGGACTACCTGGAGGTCAGGCCACTTTGCCACCCATAGGCCCAAAAATACGTCCCTCAAAATTCCTCCACATCACCGATACTCAGAAAAAACTTCTCCTGGTTATTCCTGGCGCTCTTTTTAGGGCTACTATTCCATGGTCTGGCCATAAAAACATGCAGGAAGGCCCAGGAAGGATGACCCCTGTACTCAGAGGAGGCGGCACGTCATGTGAACAAGTCCTGGACCCCCCAGATCCGCAGGCAGATTCCGCGAGGCCCGCAGAGTGCCCAGCACCCGCTGCGCCTCGCAAACCTCACCTGTCCAGCCCCATCCGGTCACCCAGCAGTTCTCCCATCGTTTCATGTCCGTGACCTCTGACAGGCAGATGGGGAAGCTCGCGGCCCCCAGCCTCATGGGGAACTCGACCAGGAGCAGCGCGATGTCGTTGTCAAGGACCCAGTTGTTGAAATTGTGGTGACTGATTATCTTGACCACTTTTATCTTCATCAGCTTGTCATTGTTAACTTTTTCTCCACTGTAGGAAATCTCCAGGGCGGATCTTATTTCAAAACCAAAAGAGAGAAAGGGCGAGTGGCAGAAGGGCCGGAAGAGCAGAGAACCCCGCCCCTCCGAGGCCGAGGGCCTGAGAGCTGGAGGCAGGAGGCAGCTGGGGCCACACTGGTCGTGGAGCCAGGAACAGAGGCCCCACTGGACACACATCTGCCTCCGGCCCTACCTGTGGCCAAGCATCTCTTGGCCTCACCTGTCAGTGCCCTGGACAAACGCCTGGAAGCTGCGGCACTCGAGCAGGTGAAGGCCTTGCCCAGTCTGCTGCGGCCTGGGCTGGCTGTGTCCAGCCTGGAAGACCCAGAAGTTCTGATCCCTGGCCTCAGAGGGGTCCTCAGGGCCTAGCCCTGCTCAGGGCTCGCCAACCCGCAGGCGAGGGAGCAGGTGCTCAGGGGGATGGCTGGTGTGCCGTTCTACCCTTTGACTTATGGGGCCACACACGTTGACCACAGGGCCCCACTGTGGCCAGGACCCTGCACTCAGCAAGATGGGAGAAGCCCACAGAATGTCTGTCCTGCCTCTGGGTCACAAGCAACCTGAGCAAGTCCTCCCAGCTGCTGTGCGGGGCAGGCACCAGGTGGGCTGCTCTGGGTGTCTGCGGGACAAGCCTGAGCCACAGGCCTGGAGAAGAATAAGAGTACGGGGCAGGCCTGACCACACCAGCCTCAGCACAAAACTCCCAGCGCTTACGTCACGTCCCTGACGCAGTGGGACGTGGTCAGGATCCACCACTCGCTGAGGATGGAGCCCCCGCAGATGTGTTTTCCTTCTATGCGGAGGCTCACCTGCCACGGGAACGCCAGGATGTCGGCCGGCTCGCCCCTCACGACGGGCAGCACGTCTGTGTTCTTGGACTTGTCGCTTTCTGCCCTGCCACACATCACTAAAAGCAGAAACCGAGGAAGAGGGACGAGAGCTCAGGACCCAGTCTTGTTCGCTCAGCCTGTGAGAAGCAAGAGCTCAGACCCCCAGGCCTCACCCCCCGACACAGACGGCAGCAACTCAGCAGGCCCCCAGCAAACTGACAGCCCCGCCCCAGGCCCCACGCCAGAGAAGGTGCCCTGGCACCAGGGCCTGCCCCCACTGGGGTTTTCCTTCTGGGAGAATCTCCATCGCGGGTCTGTGTGGGGGGACAAAGGGGAGAGGCCGGCTCTTGCCAGGGCACCCCAGTGAGGAAGGGAGGCCAAGCAGAAGGTTCACTCATTTCAAATTAGCTTCACTGCTTTCTGGAAAACGGGGCCTCGCGAGAGGCCAGATGGTCCTCCTCAGCCCTGGACACGCATTTCCACAGGCCTCTCCAGTGCACGACACAGACCCAGGCCCCAGACCTCTGCATCTCCTGTTATTAGAGGCGCCATCTTTCACCCCATTTTCTTCTAGGGATCATCCTAATTGCAACTTGAGAGAGAGAAAAATTGGGGCAGGTCCGCGTGATAGGAGTGCTTTGGCGTCTCTGGATGCCTTTGGGAGTCATTTGAGCACCACGGGCAGAAAGCCGAGCACCTCACAACCCCAACTGCTGAGGGTTTACCACGTCCAGGCAAATAGCCCGGTTTGGTCTAGATTAAGTTAGCTCCCACACAAACCACGTGAGGTAGCGCAAATTATTTTTGCCCCGTTTTAAAGGTGACACAACAGAGGCGAGGCTGAGGGCAGGACATCTGGCCGGACCCAGCTGTAAGGACCCCACTGAGCGAGGATTTGAGCCCGGGCAGTCTGGCTGCGGAGTCTGCCGGCAGCACCGCTGGGGTGGGCGACGGAGCACCGAGGTAGAGTCACAGCGGTGGAGACATTAGATCCAAGGCACCGAGCATCAACCCCGTGCCCACCTGCAGGGACGCGCCCCCCGAGTGAGGCGGGCAGGCTCCTCCTGGAGGGCAGGGGCCCGGGGCCCTCTGCTGGATGCAGCTGCTGCAGGCGCTGGGCAGAACAGGGCCGGAGGGGCCTCGAGCTCAGCAGAGGCGACCTGTGGTGATTTCTGCAGAGACTCGGAGGGCCTACGGCTGGCAATAGTGGACGCCTCCCCACCTTAGACGGACCGGCCATCTCTCGCTGGGGAGAAGAGAGAAGTGCCTGATGCATGCCACGAGCTGGGCGGGCGGCCTTGACAGAACGCACAACCTGGAGTAAAAATTCCTCGGCCAGATCCAAACCCCATGAACCATCAGCATCAAACTCAACAGGGATGGACATGAAGACTCGAGCTCTGGCTATCAAAGAACAGGCCCCAAGTTCAAGGCTGCGAGGGAGCCTGACCTGGAAATCTCCATGGGGAGCGTCCACCACGGGTGCTGGCCAGAGGCTCCCTTCATAGACTGTGGGGCCAGTGGCAGGTGGTCAGTGTGGAACCTCAGAGGTAGGAAGGATATCGCCGATGGAGCGTGCCCAGGTGGGGAGCGAGACACTGGGGAGCTGCAGACTAGAAGGACTATAAGAGAAAGGAAGGCTCAGCCCCTGTGGGGTTTTCTTAAAGATGTGGCATCAGACTGTTTAGATGGTGCGTGCGTCGGTGGGTGGAAAATCTTGCAGAAGTGTGAGTCTTGGGGTACCCTACTTGTTGGGAATGGCACACAATGGAGGCTGACCTGTGACTGGGACACCAGAAGAGGCTGGGGCGGCCAAAGGAGGGGCGTGTGCTTTAACATATGCATGAACCTTGTGGCTTTCTCTGCAGTGGAACAGGCGGCCCATAAAATGAGGGGTTTGATTATCTCCAAGGTTCTTTCCAGCTCCAAAGCAGTGTACTTTTCAAAATGATGAGGGGACATATATTTACCTAAATTGCATGAATATAAAACATAACTATTTAAATTCTTACATGCAAACACTGAAGCAAAATTTAGCACCTTATTCTTAATTTCTCCTTAAGGGGCATGCAATTTCAAGTAGAACATTTTAAATGCTGTGTCGACATTATGTTAGGCTGCCAAGGGTCGTGCAAACTGGAATGTAAATTTATGTGCATGCTCAGTCTCACCCACGTTTAAAAGCTCTCCCCTATTTTTATATGCCGAATAGTTCAACTTTGTTGAAAATTACCTAGAAGCAGAGCTTCCCCGGAAAACAGAACCGTGGGTGTGAATTTTAAGGGCTACCTGGGAGCCCAGGGGATTAATGCGTTCTGTAGGTCCAGACCCAAATGAATTCTTGGTCCACCAGCGCCCAGCGCGAAGCTCCCCAGGGGGGAGGTGGCGCATGTGCCCCGGCAGGTGCTGCTGAAGAAGTCACTCCACACTCTGTGTCTCCTGGAGCGAGCCCTGGGCCTCCAGCCGGGGATGGGCCGGCCAGCTTGAGACAGGAGACGTCAGCCTTTTGAATCTAAGTGGCTCCCCCTTGCCTGCACTGTTAGGGGGTCTCAGCAATTCTCTTTCCCCCAAAAGATCCTGCCAGTATGTTGGCAACAGAGAGAAAGAATGGCGGGGATGAGGCGAGGACTCTGTGGAGGGACGGCGGTCTGGACGCACCCCGCTGGCCTGCGCGTCAGGAGGGCGGGAGGTGGGACTGGAGTCAGCAGCTCTGAGCTGGCTCCATCCTTGGCAAGCGTGTGCCCTGGCGGCACAACGGACCCTCTGTGGCCCTCGAAGTCCTCGCCTTATTACACAGATAAGGAGGTGAGTGTTGACGTGCCTGCTGCTTGCGTGGCGTGGCGGTGACTTGGAGGGTGGCGTTTGGCATCGCGTCTTCACCAGGAGAAAGAAGTCTCAGTTTTGCCCAAGGCTCTTGGCTCATTGTGGGGCCCTCTCCAAGCAGGATTTTCCCTGGAGGAATGTGCTTGTTGGGCCTCTGCCCATGCCGGGGGCCGTGCCGCCTCCCCCTCGTTTTGGATCCTCCTCCTCTGCCAGCCCCCAGCGCAGACCTCAGGGCACTTCTGCCTGTACCACCTTGGCCTGAGCATCTGATTCCGGCCTTCAAATGGCATCTTTAGACAAACACATCTTACACGCACACGCGCGCACACGCACCCAGGCTCCTCCACATGTAACTTTCACGCTGGGGGATGTGGGAGCAACATCTCCTAGCTGGCCCAGGGCACCCCCCGTATCAGATCCCCTGGGGGCTGAGGAAGGGCCACCCCCTGCATCCAGTCCAGAGCCACGGAATCAGGACTTGGCCTTTCCAACCAGCTCCCCAGGTGACTCTTCTCCCGCCCTGGGCAAGCAGGGGAGACCCAGGACAAGGAGCCGCGGGAGACATACATGCCAGGGAATCGTGTGCCCAGGGCAGCAGCAGGGCGACCCGCAGCAGGATGGCTGCTCTGGGGCCTCTCCATGCTGCCATTGTCGTTGGCCGGGGTCTTGGCTCGAGCCCACGGAGAGGCCTCGGGGGGGACCGTGCATATTCAGGACAGACTGGCAAGTAGCGGGGCTGGGCTCTGTGTCCCCGGCGCACAGCCTGTCTGACCGCCGAGGTCACAATGGGGGCCCTGGGTGGAGCCACAGCTGGCAGCCTCCTGGGTCCAGGCCCTGGTGATGCCCGTGAGCCCACCCCCTGGGGTGTGGGGGTAGGTGCGGGGGGTCGGTGTGGGACTGCAGCCCTGGGCCTCACCATGGGAGGACTTCCCGGCCAGCCCCACCGCCGTCGGGGCTGCTCCCACCTACTGGTGCATCAGGAGGGAGGGGCTGAGGGCTGGGGGCGTGAGGATCTCTGAGGCAGCAGGCAAGGGGGCACAGCGAGCAGGTGCACCTCAACAGCGGACCGAGCTCACCCCGGCGGGGTTTAGGGGCGCTGGTCAGCCGGCGCCAGCCTCAGGGTGTCCATCCACAGGGCAGCAGCAGCCAGGACGCAGGCAGGGAGACCAAGGAGCGGCGCGGGCCCAGCCAGGCCTGGCAAATGCCGGAGCCACGACGTTGACTCTCGGCTACCTGCTGCCGACGGCATCTCCCTGCTGGCTGCCCCGCTGGCGCCCGCGGCTGACCGCACCTTCTAGAGCAGGACCAACAGAGCAGGCGGCTTCACCGACCCCCACCCGCCGGCCCCTGGTGAGCAGCTTTGCGGCGTGCGAGGAAGTGGATTTGCTCGGCCTCCAGAGGCCCCAGCCCCCCGAGGGAGATGGCCTGTGACGAGTCGGGGTGAGCCGCTGGCCTCTGGGAGGGGCTGAAATGGGCAAAGGCTCCCCCCAGACCGCTGGAGGAGCGCCCCAAACAGCCCGGCTTTGGGGGGAGCGCTGATGCTCCTGGAGGCCCCTCCCGCCCGCGGGCGCTGCTGCTGCCTCTGAGTTCTCAGAATGAGAAGCTGCAGATACTTCAAAATTTCTCTTTTGTCCTTTCCATTTACTTTCTATAAATCATGGCAAGGTATGTAAAAAGCAGCAGTTCTTCCTCCGCGCTGTCTTCAGGCTCAAGACACACCTGGCCTGCAGATTCCAGACTCACCAGCCCCACAATCCAGGGGGCAGCTTTTAAAACCTCTGCGTGTCCCCCTTCACGTTCCCTCCTCCCTGTCCGCCGCCCCCCACCCGTCTGCTGGCTGTTGATTCTTTTTCCCGGGAAAACCTTAAAAAATCAGTGAAACAGTCATAGCCCATCAAAGCAGTCACTAGGGCAGCCCGTGACACGGTATCTGGGTGCATCTCCAGGCGTGACGTCCGCGGCAAGGTCACAGCCCCTGTGCACACGAGGGGTCTGAGGGCGGACGGGGCCCCGCGTGGGCTCCACAGGCCTGCTCGATGGCCGCCTGCACGTCCTCGGCCCGGGCCTCCACGGCAGAACCCAGCTAGCGAGGACCCGGGGAGGCTCGTCCAGCAGCCCCTGAGCTGTTTGGTCCCCATGTCCTTGGATCCGTATCCTCTGTCTGTCAGCCTGGCCGACTCTCTACTCTGCGTCCTTGGGGGGAAGGGCCTGCTGGCTTTCTCGCCCTCGCGCCCCGCGCTTGCTCGCCTGGGAGGAACGATTCACGCAGCCATCAGCATGCATGGAGAGAAAGTGGGTGCTGCGGCTTCCTCGTCGCCCCATCATCCTAGCTTTAGCTTCACGTGTGGATAATATGGAGGGGAGGGGCGGGGAGGTGTCTCTAAACACACCCCGCCCTGTTTCACCTCTAAAGTGCACGGGAAGCGCTTCCCTGCACCCCAGGAGGTGACAGCACGTGGGCCTCCTGTGTCTGGGCCCCTGACTAACGGGGAGGTCGCCGGCCGCCGCGCTGTGTCCTGGAGAGGGGCTAAGGAAGCTACTGAGAAACGCAAGAAGTCAGGGTGATGGAAGTTCTTAATGCCTGAGTGGATCCCCTGGCCGCCGGCACAGCTTCTGCAGGTAGAGGCCCGGAAACCAGGCAGCGAGGTCCCCAGGCCGTCCTGGGCTCCCTGCCCCGCTGTTGGAGCAGCCTCTGGTCCCTGGCCCGCTGCTCGCCCCTCTCCTGGGCTCTGCTCGATCTTCCTTCGCTAGACTGAGGCTCGGGAGCCCTGAGTCCACATGGAGCCCCCAGGGCCCGGCGTAGAGGTTTTTCCATCCAGATCTCCGCAGGTGCTCGGCGAGGAGGGAGAGGAGCAGGGGCGGAGGGGCACGGGGCGAGGGCTCAGGGACTTGGTGCATCACCAGGGAACATGGTGCTAAGCAGCATGTGCACCCCCACGCCCAGCAACAACAGGGGCTGCAGACCAGGAGGCGGGGGGCGCGCCCCGGCCCCTGAGGTGGTGAAGGCTTTGCCCTCCTTTTCCATCTCCTCCAAGATCCACGGGATAAAGTGAGGGACAGACACAAACATGCCGGGCCTCCCCCTGACGCCAGATCTCACGCCCCAGCTGAAGACCCCCACTTGGAAGAGCCTCTGGGATCCATAGTTGGTGCAGACCATCGGCGCCCCACCGTCTCCCTGGGGTGGGGGGGAGGCACGGTCTGCAAGCTGTCAGCTCATCCAGCAAGAGGGCGGGGCGGGGTCCTGGGGTGGGCAGGGGCCTCCCTCCCAAGCACCTAGAGGGGTGGGGGTGGAGGGCGCAGGGCAGGGGCGTACCTGGCCGTGGCCTTTGGTGCCTGGTTCCTTCCAGGCACAGAGCGTGCTCCTGGACAGCTGCTCCACCCTCCTGCTGCATTCTTTCCAGGGGAGCTGCACCAGCCGCAGCTTCTGCAGGTAGATGTGTGAGTCGTGTTGGTCTGGCAAAGTGAGGAAGCGGGTGGGAATGAGCGCTGCCCACGCCACTGGCGGTGCCAGGCCCGCGCATGGGTGGAGGCCCTGGAGTGCCGAGAACTCCGCAAACCACAGACGTGGAGGGCAGGAGGCCGAGTGCTGGAGCCCCTCAGCCCCCTCTGGCGTCTCCTCGGAGGGGTCCTCTCGGCTCTGTTTGTTCCCTCTGCACCCGCGTCCCGAAGCCCAGTCCCAGCCTGGGTAGGGTGAGTCCCCTGAGATGCCTTTCTCTGGGGCTCCGCCATCTCCCCACACCCGGGCTTTGTCCTGGACAGAGGTTCAGAAGGGCCCCAGGGCTGAGGCAGGGTCGTCAGGGCCGTGCTGGGCCAGTGGAGAAGCCAGGACGATGGCCCTTCGGGCCCCCTTGAGGGAAGGCGCTAACCCTCCTCCCAGAGGTGCCCGGGCTGCTTGCTCCCCACCCCACTGCCCTCCCGAGCGCCTCCCAGCCTGGCCAGCTGGAGCGCATCACTGATGGCCGGCTTGGCCGGGGAGTCACCGGCTTGGAGCCGCTCTCCAGGTTTCCTGGGGTGGTGAGCAGGCGGGGAGCAGCGCATCCTGGAGCCCCGGTGAAGGAAGGACCAAGCCGGCGAAACCCCTGGCGGAGAGCCCACGTGGGCCTCGCCGCCGCGCTCTGTGCTCCCCAAAGGTGACCGTCAGCCTCGGGTCTTGAAATCCCGCTGTATTCCAGGCTTTTACCAGGAATATGCATTTCACCCACTTGAGGGGGACGTTCCCTCGCTCTACAGGGGAGGAAGGCGGAGGGGGGCGAGGTGGAGGAGCTCACGGATCCCTAAGCTGGAAGCGTGAGCAGATTCCAGCCCGAGTCACCCAAGCACGCGCTGCCTCACGCGGGCAGCCCCGGCCGGCACCCACCTCGCGCTCGCACCCACTCTGCCATCCAGCAGCGGCCCCAGCTCCGCTCCTGCTTCCGCAGGCAGATGGGCCTCTTGAAGCTGGTGAACTGCACGGGCGTGGCCAGCAGCAGCAGGGCCAGGTCGCTGTCTGGGCGGGGCGGCTGGTAATCTCGGTGCACGACTATCTTCCGCACCTGCTTTCTCTCCAGGCCCGCGTCCTTGGACGTCCTGCCGCCCATGACGACGGTGACATTTCCCATGCCTACGTCCAGTCTAAGAGCGAAGAGAACAGCCCCAGATGCAGTGTGGTTACACCTAGTCCACCTGGCTAAGCAGCGGAACGGCCTCGGGACACGGGCAGTGAGGGCGGCAGCGGCCAGGGTGCGGACGGGGCCGGACCACAGGTCTCTGACCCGGGCACTATCGTCTGGGAGGCGTCTCTGACCCCAGGAACGGACTGAGGCGTGGGGAGAACAGAACATGAGCCCTTGAGGACGGGCCTGGGCCATCGTGTGGACGCGATGCCCCCACCCAGGGCAGGAGGAGGGACACAGCGAGAGGCGTGGCCCTCGCAGTCAGCGGCCTGCAGCGCGGGGCCCTCGCGGAGTATCAATGCTGGTGCAAACTTAGCAGCCCGCTTTGGACACGGTGAACGAGCCGAGCGAGGGTGGGAGCAGGGCTTGGGTGCAGAGCCAGGGGCAACAGGCCAGGCGGAAAGCCCATGGCCTCGGGGCCCGGTGCACTGGCCCCCTAAGCAGTTGAGCAGACAGGGGTGAGCTGGGCGGCCGCGGACACTTACAGGGTTCTCGGGAAGCAATGCGCGGCTGTCAGAACCCACCAGCGGTGCACGATTGAGCCCCCGCAGAGGTGCTTCCCCGAGAGCTGGATACTCACTTGCCACGGGAACTCGCCTTTCTGGACCTCAAAGAGCTCACGGAAGTCTAAGGACGATGAGTTTGAAAAGGCAGGTCTGTGGCCACATTGGACTTGAGAGAAGAGAGAAAGGGCCTTTGTCCACGCGAGCAGGAGGAAGCCTCTCTGCACGCCTAGCGCCCGCCGCTGCCCAGGGCTGGGGCTGCGAGCAGGTCACAGGAGACCCCCCAAGACACCTCCTCCAGCGCTGCCCTCGCAGTACCTCGAGGGGTGCCGGGGGCCACGGGGAGGGACCGCTCAGGAGACACAGCAGGGGCATGTGGAGGGGAGAGCTCAGTGCCCAGAGTCACAAACCGCCCCAGGGGAGTCCCTGCGCAGAGAGGACGGAACTCTCGGGACGCCCCAGGGCTGGGCAAGGCAGTTGGGGTCAGACTCAAAGGAGAAGGGGTATTTGCAGGGGGGACGGCCAGGGCATTGCTGGGTTCCCGCCAGGCCAGAGCTGTCCCAGCGTCCCGCGAGTGGGAAACCCCTCCTGGGAGCAGGTGGGCTGAGGACACGGGGTGCCTGGAGCGCTCTCCCCAGGAGCCTGTGTGCCAACCTGCACTGGGACGGCTGGGTGGATGCAGGGGGTCCGGGGATCTGGAGGCTGGGAACACAAGAGCAGAAGTGCAGGTAAATATTCGGCAAAACACTGAAATGAATGAATATGACTCCTTTGCCACCTATCCCCAGCCCTGGGCCCCCAAAGATACTCAATGCGTTTACAAAGAGCGGTGTAGAGGCTGGAGAAGCTGCAGTGTTGGCGCTCCTTGCCCCTGCGCCTCAGAGCTCCGGGTCCCGCCCTGGGGGTTGTTCCCAAAGGCACGTTCAAGGAGCACGTTCAAGAATCCGCTTTCGTGGCTCGTCTTGTTTCCTGAGCTCTTGGCCTCCCCTCCCGCCTGTCCGGGTAAGACCTGCGCTTCTCGCCTCCCCCTGCGCTGGGCGAGGATAGGGGAACGGAGATGCTCAGGCTTTGGCCCTTGGCCTCTGTGACTGTCACCTGAGGCCTCGAATGCAGGAGGCGCTTGGGCGCATGGGCTCAGGGCACGCGTGCCTGATGGCGGCTCCTGGAAGGGGTGTGGGCGTGCGCCAGCGGGCACACCTCGGCTGGGAGGCTGAGCACACCCGGCGGTGTCACAGAGGACGGGGTAGCAGGAGCCGTAGCGTGCAGCGGGGAGCGGTGGGGAGACCATGGGAGGGGCCAGAGAGCCCAGAGAGAGTGAAGATTTGAGGGGTGTCAAGGAGGCCCGCCAGCTCCTGCCCCCTGCCCCCGTCGCCTGCCCTGCGCCTGGTGCCACACTACAAGTGGCAGAGAAAGATGATTAAGAGCCCGAGAAAGCCACAGAGGGCTCCGAGACCCTCTGGCCGCTCGGCCTGCTGCTAGCGCTGCAGTGAGCCTGGCACAGACCTGGATCCCCCTGAGCAAGTCCCCTGAGCACCAGCAACGGTGGGATTAGCAGCTGGAGCATCTTCTTTGCATTCCAGCCCAGCACGGCCCAGCCCGCTCCGGGCAGAGCTGATGACTGCCAGCAGCCCCGCGGGCCCTCCCAGCCGCAGGCAGGGCAGGCGGTGACTTCACAGTGAGCAAGGTGGGGGCAGCGGGAGGGAGGGCCGGCCTGGCCCCAGCACGGCCCCGCCCTCCACGGTGAGGGTGGAGGGACGCGTGTCGGACAGGCCGCACGTGCCCGCACACCTGCCCGAGCCGCTGGGGAGCCATGCATTCTGGCATCTTCTTTGGCATTAAAGAGCAATTGGTGAGGTTTTGTATTCTCTTGAGTCAGGTTTTGGGAGCCTGCCACGTCCTGCTGAGGGATTGGGACTCTCGTGAGGTGAAGTGGGCCTCGGCATTGAGTTGGGCCGTACAGTCCCCCGTGCATTAAAAGAAAGAGGAGCATGCGTGGGGCTCGGGGGCTGCCGTAGCAAGCCCCACAGCCTGGGAGCTTCAGACAATAGGAAGCCATTGTCTTGGGGTCCTGCAGGCGCAAGCCTAGAGGGAGGGGGTTTCCTCAGCTCCAGCCCCTCTCTGCGGTGCCAGATGGTGACCTCCCAACCTCTGCACACATCACCTCTGTGCCTGGACCCCTGGTGTCCTCCTTTTCCTGTAAGGACACAGGACTGCTGGATCAGGGTCCCCCAAGGGCCTCAGGTGAACTCAATCGCCTCTTTAAAGAGCCTCATCTCCAAACCCCCATACGTTCTGTGAGGTGGGGATTGGGCCTCCAACACGGGGACTTCAGGGAGCCCAAGGGAGAGCGGCGGGCACAGTGCGGGGTGAAGGTGCAAGCTGCTCTGTCCAGGTGTGACACAAACCTACCGAATGCAGCCAGGAGGCTGGGCGCCCGCACACCTAGACCAGCACCTGTCGGCCTGGCTTCTCCCGGCTGGGAGCCGAGAGGGGGTGCACCAGAGGTGGCCCGATTCGGGGTCTCAGCACAAGCACACTCTCTGCTCTGCCCTTTCTCCTGTCATTTGTTTCTGAATAAACTCGTTTTGTTGCTGGAATAACTGATTGCTTTTGCTTGGGGTCAACAGAAATCACGAGTGGGTGATTTTCACAGAGAATGTGGGAAAAGAAGCAGAGACCTGAGGCTGCCCCCTGAGAACCGTCTGGGGCTGTTCAGGAGAAGCAGGAGGAAAGGGGCGCCATGGAGGAAAAACAGAACCATGTCAGTGCGGGAAACAAGGCTAGAATGTTCTGGAAGGAGCAATGTGCCCTCCCCGTAGCTCCAGCTCAGGCCTCCTGCAGCCACGGAACCAGCCCTGCTCGCCCGCCCCTTCCACAGCTCTCTCTTTAGCCTGCTAAGGTGTTTGGTCTTCTCCCCCCAAAGCCTTCAGAAACAGATCGACAGGGGTCCAAAGGCCCTCGCCCCAGTGCCTGCAGCCCATCCTGTTGCCCCTCATTCACAGCAGTCTGCAAAACACAGCAGCCCTTGGGGGGAAAGGAACAGCTGTGACCTTCAGGAAAAGGAAGAAGTCCTGTTTCCTTCTGTGCGCAACCCTGACATCAGGGCCTGGCCCCTCGACGCCGAGCTGCGGCTCCGCGGACGTCAGCTGGGTCTCCTGCAAGTTGCCTCGGTTGTGTCTCTAACCGTCTGGGGTCAGTGCAGACCTCAGATCCGGGGCTGCATCCCCCAAGGCTGCCCCACCCCGACTGACCAGGGCCCAGGTCGACACCTCTATTTCTGACTATAAATCCCGGCCCCCACGTCCCCCCCAGCGCCCACAGAGGCTACAATGGCCACCCGGGAGAGTGCCCTGCTTACTCTCGCCACCTGTTCTGAGGACTGTGGGCCGCCACCTCCCCGCACCCCCATGTTCACCCCCCTGAAGCTCTCAAACTCCTGCAGCTGGGTTTTCACAGAGGCTTCATCGCCTCGGCGAGATGGATCAAGTCTTTGTTCCCTGGTGATTCGCTCAACCTCTGTCTCACTTCCCTCCAGGAAGCCAGGCCATGAGGCTGAAAATCCCAGCCCTCTAATCACAGGGCTGGTTTCCTTGGCAACCCCATCCTGGGGGCGTCCAGACCTCAGCTCGGGAGCACAGACCCCAAAGGGGCTGAAAGGGGCTCGGTAAGGGCCAGCAAGGGGTCTCCTTTACCTCCGCCTCTCCGTGTGTTTCGGGAACTAGGGGAGGCCAAGTACTGACACAAAAGACGGCTCCATCAGGTGATTGTAAGGATTTTAGCAGCTCTGGCCAGGAGCCCAGTGAGGACCAAACATTTCTTATACTATCGGAATATCACAGCAGGTTTCCTGTCAACTACAACCTCCCCAGTGATGTCCAGCCTCCCCAGTTATTTATAAGGCTGGTTCCTCCCTTCAGTTGGCACTAGCCAGGTGGCCACGGGCGCCAGGCCTCCCCAGCGCGCGGCCCTGCCCTCTGCGGCTCTATTTCCACGGTGCTCATGGCTTATCTTCAGGACTGATCTCCTTTCTGTCTCTCCAACTGCCCACAACCTTAACAAGGACAAGGGCTTTTTCTGCCCTACATTCCAAAACCTTGGTGCAGTGCCTGGCGCACACTAGGCACTAGGTTAGTAACTAAACTGGACGCGCTATGAGAATCACGCGTGTCTGTCGTCTGGGCCCCGGGCCAGTCTCAGGCGCTGTCACATGTTGCAGCCACAGCCTCTGACCGCAGCCGTGCTCACCTCGGCCCTGACACTCAGGTCCTGTGAGTGTCTCCCACGTAGAGACTTGGGGAGCGGAGCTCAGGGAGGCCGAGCCCGCTCGAGGCCCGTTGCGGGCGTGGCAGCGGCAGGCCTGGGGCCCACACCCAATACCACCTTCTGCAGAACGTGTCGCAAGATCAGCTGAGGCAACTTGCTGGAGCAGCCAGTCCCGGCCTGAGCTTCAGGTAGGAGACCTCCCAATGCTGGTCGCTGTCCTCACTCGGGCCCGTCAGTGACTGCAGGGGCAATGGCCAAAGACGAAGTTGGGGTTCCCCTGATCTCCGAGTAGCAGCCCCTACATGGCCATGTGGGACGAGATGCAGAGGCCGATTCTTGGCTCAGTGGGAAGGAGTCACCAAGTAGGACTTTGTCTGTCCGGCCTGGTGGGGGCCAGGCGTGGCCATGGGGCTGGCGGCCTGCCGTCTACGCAGGCTAGGTGACTCGCCCGGCTCAGAGGCCCGAGTGAGATCCGCGCAGGTGCTGTTCAGCACCATGAAGCTCCAGCCACCCCTCCCCGACCCGCCTAGACGGAGGCGTGTGATGGCCGAGGTGATGGTGTCTGTGCGGCACAACAGGTGGACTGTCCTCACGCCCAGTGCAGTAACAAGCACTGGAAGCAGTGCCATTGGCTTCCAGCAGCAGAAAAGTGCCAGGTGTTCAGCGTTGGGTCCACTGCTATGTCCACTGCAGCATCCCGGGGCTAGTTTCCATGCAGCACCCTGCAGATGCCCGGTTTCCTCTACCTGCCCCTACCCCTACCCCTCTCTCCTCTGGTAACTCCGCTCTGCTCTGTATCTGGGAGTTTGTTCTTGTTTTCATTTGCTTATTTTGTTTTTTTCCCTTCCACTTGTAAGTGTTTGTCCACTCATAGTGTTTGTCTTTTTCTTATTTCACTGAACATCTTCCCCTCAAGACCCTTTCATGTGGTTGCAAATGGCAAGCTTTCACCTTGTTTGTGGCTGAGGAGTATTCCACCGAGTATGTAGATGGCGCCTTTACCCTCCCTGCTCTCATCAGGCACCCAGGTGGTTTGCACCACTTGGCCATTGTAACCAGTGCTATGGTGAGCGTGGGGTGCAGATAGCCTTCAAATCAGTGTTTTTGTGTTCTTCGGGTAGATCCCAGGAGAGGGACTGCTGGATCACAAGGTGGATCTACTGCTAATATTCTGAGAAGCCTCCACACTGTTTTCCACAGGGGCTGGATGAGCCTGCATTCCCAGCCACGGTGCACAAACCCTTTCGCCCACACCCTTGCCAGCACTAGTTATTTCTGGCCTTTTGGATGTGGCCAAGCTCACGGGAATGAAAGGGTGTTGACGTGCATTTCCCAGGTGAAGAGTGACCGTGAACATTTTTTCTTGTGCCTGTTGGCCGTCTGTCTGTCCACATGACACATCTCCAGCGTCACGGGGTAGATCTACTGTTAATATTTTCACTTGTGAGTCCACCTCCCTGTCCCGAGGGGAGAAAGTGGAGGGACCAGGCTGGCAGGGTGGGCACAGTCTCCTGGAGAAGGACCTGCAGTCACTGTAGGACCTGGACTCCACACACACTCACCCCCACTGTGGTGGGCCGGCATGGGCAGGCAGCCCAGGGTGCTCGGTGAACCCGTTGAGTCTATGTGGGTCAGGTAGCTAGACAGTGAGGCCAAGTCCCAGGCAGAGTCCTTATGGGGGCGCCACGCCTGGCATTCCGCCTCTGAGTCACATCGCTTCATCTTCAGAGATGGCTGGGGCTTATCTGGAAAGCTGGGAGACACAGGGATAGAGCAGCATTGTGGCCTGTGAGGAGGACCCCCGAATCCTGGGCTATGTGGTCCATGCCAGTGGGTGAGCACAGGGCAGGAAGGCAGCAGGGAGTTGGGGCAGCTGAGGGGCCTCTGGTCCTCCTGAGGCCGCCCCCAGAAGGCTCTGCAGCTGCAGCCTGGCAGCCCCACTCAGGCCTACATGCCATCCAGAGGGTCCGGGTGAGCCAGGCTCCAGACATAGAGCACTCAGCCTACAGGAAGGCTGGGTGTTGGGGACACGAAAGCGAGGTGCCCCCGAGGCGGGGAGAAGAGTGGCTGGTAACCCGTGGCCAGAAGGGGAGCTCTGACATCTAGGACTCCAAGTCCTTGGAGCCGCTGTCCCAGAAATCCAGCAGCAAGAGCGCCCGTGCGACCTCGGCCGGAGCTCCCAGCTCCATGCCCCATTGTGACGTCGCCGGCTGCCGCGCTGGGAACTCGGCTCTGTCAGCTCTTTCCCGGCCTGGCTCTTCCCCCTGGGCCGCCAGCCATGTTCCTGCTCTCAGCTCTGCTGCTTGTGGCCCGGGCCAGGGGCACCCCTGGCAGTACGTGGAGCCCCCCCAGGGGCCCTGCAGCTCCCGAAGCTGGGGCCGGGATGGGGTTGCCACAGAAACCAGCCCTGTGATTGGAGGGTTGGGATTTTCAGCCTTATGCCCCGGCTTCCGGGGCCAAAGAGGGACAGAGGTTGAGCTGGTCACCAGTGGACAAAGATTTGATCCATCTCGCCGAAGCGGAGCCTCCGTGGAAACCCAGCTGCAGGGGGCTGAGGGCTTCCGGGACGGAGCATGCGGCCCCACATCTCGGAGGGGTCACGGTGGCCGCGTGGGTGTGCACGGACAGGGACCCAGTCCCCTCTTGTCCTTCCTCTTCTCCCCACCAGGCTGCGGTGAGAGGCCCGTTTTTGAGGGAGGGACTCGGTACTCCAGGATCATAGAGGGCGCGGAGGCTGGGGAGGGCGAGTTCCCGTGGCAGGTGAGCGTCCAGGCAAGAAGCCAGCCTTTCTGCGGCGGCTCCATCATCAGCGAGTGGTGGGTTCTCACGGCCGCCCACTGCTTCCACAACACAGACTTAAGGTGAGTACCCACCTCGTTGCTCCGACAGCGTCCGCGCAGGGCACCCATACCCAGTCACACATGACCGCTGAGGCAGCCCCACAGGCACGCGCGTCCCCAGCCGGGTGAGGCGGCGCGGCTCGAGGCCCGCCCTCTGCAGGGCCCTCCCCACATCAGTGCGGGACTGGACCCACCCGTCCGCTCCCTGGGGCACTCAAGTCCTGCTAGGAGAAAATCCTTCTGATTCTGAATCTGGGGCTCCCTGGCCATCTGACCCCCACCTCCCCGCTGCTTGTGCAGTTTTCTCTGTGCCCCAAGAGCTTATTTCCTGATTACTAGTCCCGTGCGGTGACCAGCTAAGAAATGACCTCCATTAGCCTCTTAATCACACGACAGCCTCAGACAGGTCAGATGAGACTCCCTTTTATAGAGCAGGAAACTGAGGTCCATGGGTTGGGTGATTCGCCAACAGCACCCAGCGGGGAGGCAGAAACAGGGCTGTCCTGGGCCCCAGCATGTCTTTTCAGCCACACTCAAGAAAGGGTGAAGTTACCCAGAAAGCCTGATTTCAAAGGGTTAACCAAACCCCGGGGGTGTCATCAGGGCTTTGCCCAGCTGCCCGAGCACTTGCTGTCTTGGGACACGTGGTGGGCTTGGCACACATCCCCGGCCCTCCTGGAGGACACTCGGGAGTGACGGGGCAGGATTCGGCTGCCCCACTGTGGCGGGTCTAGATTCAGTTCCTCCCCTTGGCCTCTGAGCTGCTGGAGGACCGGTCGCTGGGAAGGTAACACCTCCTCTGCCCGGGGGCCGTGTGATCTGGCCAGGTAGTGCTTTAAGAGCCAGGGTGTCTCATTCCGTAGGGGCCCTGCCAGCCACCTGGCCCCCTCCCCTCCTCCGTGTTCCTTGGCGGTTCGAATCTTCTAGTAACACCCCCGGCAGGAGAGCCCTACAGGCCCTGGAACTCCATGAGACTAGGCTTTGGGGCACAGCTGTGAGAGTCCCGGCACCTGCCCCTTTGCTTGTGCCCCAGCCCAGAAGACGTGATGGTCGGGCTGGGCAGCAGCGACCTAAGCAGCACGTCCCTGGAGCTGAAGCAAGTCTCCAGGATTATCCTGCACAAGGACTTCCGGAGGAGCGACATGAACAACGACATCGCCTTGCTGCTGCTGCAGTCGCCCATCGTGCTCGACGGGCTGAAGACGCCCATTTGCATGCCCTGGCGGCCCGGCCTTGCCAAGTGGCGCGAGTGCTGGGTGGCCGGATGGGGACAGACCAGAAGTGGTAGGTGGCAGCTCAGGGTCCTGAGAGTGGCTGGGAAGGAGCGTCCGGGGGCAGGGAGGGTGGGAGGGGGTCAGGTGACGGGGCAGGGGCTGGCCCTGAAGCCAATCCCCGCGCAGCGAGATGCCCGGAAGCCTGGCCTCAGCCCCCGCCCAGAGAGGCATCCCCCATGAGCCAGCCCCCACCTGCCCCCACGACCCAGGCCACACTCAGAGCACCCTTGCCAGGGGTCCCCTACCCTGGATCCCCTCACGTCTCCTGTGAGTCACCACGCTAGTGCGCCCTGCCGGGTCCATGGGCGTTCCGAGGGCCTGCCTGGCCCTGGCGGCCTATGCTGCTCCGGGCATTCTCAGGAAGGAACCTGCCATTATTTTTCCTGGGGCAGAAAGGGATTGCGAACGCCTGGGTGGACTGGCCCGAAAGGAAAGGTCAGGGAGTCTAGAGCTGAGGGGTGGGGAGGGAGGAACAGCATGACCCTGCCTCAGGTCTGGGCGAGGCCGCGGGGCCGGGGTGCCTCATGGGAAGTGGGGTCCAGAGGGCCGTAGGCGAGTCAGGAGCTTGGCAACCAGGGGTGCTTGGTGACCCACTGATTCGGGACATGACCCGCAAGCTAGCCGCGGAGGACGAGAGCGGGGCCTGCGAGATAGAAAAGGCCAAGGAGAAGAGCTTGGGGATCTCGGTGTGCTCAGAGTCTGTGCGGCGAGTCCCCAGAGTCCCGCTGCCCAGAACGGGCCCACAACCCCCGAGATGCTCAGTCTACACCCTTGCCTGGAGTCCTGATGGTTTTCGCTAGAGTTGAGAATCCCCCAGTAGCCCCGCACTAGGGACTTACGGAGGCACCTAGTACGAACTAGCAGTGGCGACAGGCCGACGAGGCAGGAGAGGAGACATGCTCTGTGGCCAGCTCCAAAGAGCCTAGTCTGCAGGCCCGTGCAGTCAAGCCGACCGCCATCTTGGAAGGAGGAACATGATTTTGGGTGAAAGGGATCATTCGAGCAGGTGGGGTGATCTTTGGAGAAGACTGGGCTCTGGAGAAGAGTGGGGTGACTGGAAGGAAGAGGAGAGAGAGGGATTGTGGGGAGGGCAGGAAGTTGGGCCTGGGGCTGGGGGGCAGTCAGGGCGTTCCCACACGGGCCTCCTGTCCGGGGCCTGACGAGTGCTCTCTCCGGGGGCAGATGACGAGCACTCTACAACAAGCGACCTGCTGAAAGTGCCCATGGCCATCATGGACTGGGAGGGATGTGCAAAGACATTTCCCAAACTCACCAAAAACATGCTGTGCGCCGGATACCACAACAAGAGCTACGATGCCTGCCAGGTAATGGGGGCCTCCCCTCCCTCCCTCACAAGCCCCCGTGCCAAGGCTGCCCGGCCAGGGTAGCGTGTCTGCACTGGGCACGGATCACGAGAGTCTGGAACATAGGTGGGAGGCGGGGCTTGGCCCGGGTGGTGGCTCGGATCAGGGGTCAGCACCTACTGTGTGACTAGGAGTGAGCACCTACTATGTGACTAGGAGTGAGCGCCTACTGTGTGAATAGGAGTGAGCGCCTACTGTGTGAGTAGGAGTGAGCGCCTACTGTGTGAATAGGAGTGAGCGCCTACTGTGTGAGTAGGAGTGAGCGCCTACTGTGTGAATAGGAGTGAGTGCCTACTGTGTGAGTAGGAGTGAGCGCCTACTGTATGAATAGAGTGAGCACCTACTGTGTGAATAGGAGTGAACGCCTACTGTGTGAGTAGGAGTGAGCGCCTACTGTGTGAATAGGAGTGAGCACCTACTGTGTGAATAGGAGTGAACGCCTACTGTGTGAGTAGGAGTGAGCACCTACTGTATGAGTAGCACCGCCTGCTCCAGGCGCAGCGGGACGTCTGTGCAACCAGCCTGCACCAATGTTCCCGGTCTTCGCCAAGCTCTCGGGAGCAATAGGACGCCAAGGCCTTTCCTATTTCTAGACTGTCTTAAAAATCAAAATGCCCTTAAAAATCAAGTTATACTTTCAAATTTTGCAAACTTTTAAAAACCAGGCAATCACATAATTAAGGGAAAGGATAATATTATAATGAGCACTTAAATGTGTTCAACATAATGGTAAGAAGAGTAGCAATGCTTAAAATACACAGTAAAATTAAATGCTAAAGCTGAAACCCCTGAATGTCTTGGTTTGCTTTTCTCAGCATCCTTCCTGGCCTTCATCCCCTGACAAAGGTAATAATGGGGGCGGCGGGCGGCAGTGGAGCTCGTTGAAAGAAAATACTTAAGTGGCACCGTTAAGCACAACATGAAAGCAGACACGTCCCCAGCGTCTGTCACTGCGAGTCTCACGAGGCCTTGAGCAGGACGAGCAGCCTTCAGAGACAGGCGCCGCGGCCAAGGGCGACCGGCTCTGGGCTGACCTGTCTCCTCCTCGCCAGGGGACACGGCGTCGTGTGCGGGTGCAGACCCCACACGAGCCGCGCAGGTGGAGCGCGCGGTGGGTGCAGTGGGCCGGGCAGAGTGGCGTCGCGGGCAGGCCCAGGGGGCGGAGGCTAAGGGCGCAGGCCGAGCCCGTAGCCAGCGGCTGTCGGTGGCCAGGGCGGGATGGCCGCGCTGCCTTGCATCTCACCTCCTTAAAGACAGTTTCGGGTTCACAAAATGGAGAGGAAGGTCTAGAGGTGTCCCATCCGCTCCCCTCACGCACAGCCTCCCCATGACGGTGCGTTGGTTACGACGGACCCACGCTGACAGCCGTCACCCAGAGCCCCCGGTTTATACTAGGGTTCACTCTGGGCGTCGCCCACCTGCGGGTCTGGACAAAGAGAGGATGACCTGGGCCCGCCCTCTCACCGTGCTGGGCGGCTCTCCAGGGGTCACCTGGAGACATCACCACCCCAGGCCCGGAGCGCTCCCCGCACCCCACACAACCTTGGAGCATCACAGACTCTCGCAGCCGGGAGGGGTGAAAGGATGCGATCCACACCCTGTCTCGCAGGCTGGAGAGCCTGGCCCCGCACCCGTCGGCCGTGCCCTTCGCCGCGTGAGTGGACGGGGCAGCGCGGAGGCAGCGTGGTCACTGCAGGCGCCTTCCGAGATTCCTTCTCTCGGGACCCCAGAGATGGCTGTGGGGCCCGCCCTCCCGTCCAACAGATGGAGACTTAGAATACAAGTGCCCAGTAGCGGTGGGGCCAAGCCAGAAGCCGGGGCACCTACCGCGCCCCCAAAATGGACAGGAGTGATTCCGGGGTGTCGTCACACAGCAGCGCTCTTGGGGGGCTCCTGTGGTCAGTGTGCTTCTGAACAGATGGGACCAGGCGGCCAGCCTCAGGCCTTGAACAAAAGCCTGCGGGCGGGGGGAGGGGCCGTCATCAGCCCCGTCCTTGCTGGCCACGGCCAGACCCTCCGGGGAGCCGTCCTCGCTGTCTTTCCAAGAGGAGGAGGAGAAAAATCAAAGGCTCTGTGCCCCAAAGGACATGTCCCAGCAGCCCACGGAGCCTCTTTCCCGGAAGACACAGGAGCGTGCGACCTGCAGGGGACGCGCACAGGAGCCTCGCGCGCCCGGAGCCCTGACCACGGAGCGGCGACCCGTGCGGAGAGGTTTTAGAGGCCTGTGAGGCTTCATCTGCCCACGAGCTGGGCACGAGCTGGTATTATGTCCATTTTAAAGACATGGAAACTGAGGCTTTCACAGCGGATTTCTCCGGAACAGTTCTCTCCCCTTTATGTGAGGAAACAAGAACCGAGGCGCCGTATTAATACAATAAAGTCTTTAAAACGTCCTAAACTCGGGCCTCCCTGGTGGCCCAGGGGTTGAGGCTCAGCGTTATCACTGCTGCGGCCTGAGTTTGATCCCCGGCCAGGGCGCAGCAGACCTCTCCGGTCTCCCCGCTGCTCCCCTCAAGCTGAATGCTCTGAAGCCACCCCTGGCAGACTGGCAAAGTGGGCAGAACGTGGGCTTGGTGGCAGGAGGCTGCGCCGGCCCCAGCCCAGTGGCCTTCCCGCCCTGTGCTTACGCGGACGGCACCACGCCCAAGGCTGTGGGAACATGGGCACTTCCGCGCTGGGCCCCTGGAAGCATATCAGAGGCGCCCCGACTCCTGTCGCCCCCGCCCCACACTTCTCGGGCACGATCTGCATTCCTGCCCTCTCCAGAGCTTCTGGCATTGGGGGACCCCAAATAGACCTCAGTCTGTGTGACATGGACTTCGTGCCCCCACTTCCACCCCTGTCGAGCTGCCGATGGAGCTGTGCTGTCGCCGGGGGGATGATGGGTCCCTCCACCACCCCCTCTTCCTTTCCCGGCCAGCTTGGCAGCCGTGTACTCCCCCAGAGCCGGGGTGGGAGGCACTGGCAGATGGTGATGACGTGGCCTTTGTCATCTAGAGCAGGACAGGTCTGGGGGCGCTGCCCCAGGGGGCTGTGGTGCCCCGGAGACGCCAACTGCACGCCCTCTCTCCACAGGGCGACAGCGGGGGGCCCCTCGCCTGCCTCTCGGTGTCCGACAGGAGGTGGTACCAGGTGGGCATCATCAGCTGGGGACGGAGCTGTGGACAGAAGGACGTCCCGGGGATCTACACCTTGCTAGAGAACTACAGCTCCTGGGTGAAGAAGGTGGCAGAGCTCGAGGGAAGGCCCTTGGGCGCGAGGAAGATGAGCTCGGCTGCCAAGCAGAGGCCCCCGAGCTCCTGGGCCGCCCCCCCGCCCGGAACCCCGCAGCCCCGCGCTCTGACTCCTGCCGTGCCCTTGGTCCTCCCTGCCGTTCTGGGCTATTTCCACAGATAATTAAACAGATTCTAGTCTTTCACCAAGGGGGGAGCGTGAGATCGCACACCCAGGGGAGGGGCTGGCTGGGGTTGGGGCGCAGGCCTGGGGCCGAGGCGGTTGGAGAAAGGAGGCCAGCAGGCGGGTCAGAGCCCAGCCGGGCCAGCTCCCCTCCGCCGGGGCCTCCGCACGCAGGCGGGCACTGCGCTCCCGCCGCCCGGCGCGCTCACCTCGCGGGGGCCCACGGAGAGGCCAGGCCACGAGGAGGAGAAAAACCGAAAACGGGGGTGTCTGGAAAGACCCCGATGGAGCTGGGGACAGTGAGCCCCGAGTTCTGTTGAGTGGTCATTGCCCGTGGAAGCAGCTTCTCCGGCCTCGGGATTAACCCCGCGCGGCCCAAGGAATGGGGACCGGCCTCTCCTGAGACAGTTGCTGGGCGAGATGGGGCTTGTTCTGCTCAGGACTCAGCCGCCCCCTCTCTGCTTCCGGGCCCACGTCCCAGCAGGTCCCTAAAGCAGGTGCAACGTGGTCCAGGGGAGAAGCGCTGCCACCCGCGGCTGGCGCCCCCTAAGTGGTGAGGCTGGAGCCCCCGCGGCGCGGCAGTCAGGTGTGCAGGAGGCCGGGGAGAGCCGGGCCGCGCCGCGTTGCGGACATGGGCGGGTGAAGCACAGGTTCTGCGTTTCTCGTGGCAGCTCTGCGAGCGAGAAGGGCTCCAGCTGGGTTTGGTAACTGTCCGACATTTCGCAATCCTCTGCTAACCCCAGCAGCCCTGGCGGGCTAGAGAGGGAGATCGCGAGCCCAGACTTCTATTATGTGATTCAATCATGTACAATCGCTCGGCTAAATCGCCACGAAGCTCCCCATGCCCGGGCTCCGCCTGCTTCCCGGGCCGCCGCGGGCGTGGGGGAGAGCGGCAGCAGGCTGGGGTGGGCCGGCTCCACGCGTCGAGAAGGGCTTCCCCAAAAGACGCGAACTGTAATCACCAAGAAGGGGGGGCCCTGGGCTGGCAAGCCTGGATGGCGAAGGCATGGGTGGCAAGGCCCGCGGCGCTCGGGCACCGACCAGGTCGGGCACCGGCCAGCTTGGGCACCGGCCAGCTCGGGCCAGCGCGTGGCACGAGCCATCCTGTGGGCTGGGCCGGTGCAGACTTGTGGGTCATTTGTTGTTTGAGCCATAAAAGGTCACAACCTTCCCCCGTGGCCCCAGGCCCATTGCCCCATGCAGCTCAGCTCTGCAAGCGCTGCCGCGGCGGCACCTCTTGTGTTTGCTCTGGAACGGGCGGTGAGAGGCCGCGTCTCTCCTTGCTGCGGGCTGTGTGCACGTGAGGAACCCCACTCCCCAAGCCTTGTCCCCAGATCGCCCTGAGGTGCAGATGCTGAGGGCGCAGCTGCCGGCAAGGACGGGAAGGGAGGGGGCCTTCCTCTGGGGTTCCGAGAGCAGAGCCCCACCTCAGTCACCCACGGGCAGGGGACCAGCTGGGCCGGGTCCCGTCCTCAGGTGGCCCTGGTGCAGTGGCCTGAGCTGTGGAGTCAGGGCCAGTCACACGGCCAAGGTTCGGTGCTCAGGCCCGAACGTGCACCTGGAGCCCAGGTTCCCTGGCTTTGGGGCGAGGATGCTCACTCACCACACGGACCACTGAGGCCAGCGCCAGGCTGATGAGCGAGTGTGGGAGGAGCGAGGTCAGCACAGCTCAGCGCTAAGTGGACACCACTGCTTGACCGACTGAAATCCACAGGGGACGGGAACTCACCGCCTCCAGGCAGCCCTTCTGGACTTCGCACAGTTCTCACAGGGAGAACAAAGGCCCACACGGAGCAGCCTGGCTCCCTCTCAGGCATGCTCAGGGGGCCTCGGGGGCCTCCCAGACAGCCACATGCTCCTGTAGGGCCAGGTTGGACTCCCAGACCCTGGACTCCCTGCACGAGCTTGGCTCACATCCCTCAATCTCCTGCTTTCAGCTTCATGGTCCACACCACCTCGCCACTCACCTTGGAACACACCCCGCGTGAGTGAGCGTGTCTCCCCGAGCAGGCCCAGCCCACCCTACATTGTGGGCATCTGTCCGTGGACCCCACAATGGGCCCCACCCCACACCTCCCTCCTGGACTTGGAGAGGTGGTCCCGGCTTCCTCGATTTCTCTTCCTGCCACTGAGGCTGCTCCCTGGACCCTGGGGTCTCCTGAGCCTTTTCTTCCTCTTACTGACGCCCCCTGAGCTGGCACAGCCCACCCTCAGGGCCTCTTTCCAGACTCAAAGGCGTGTGCTCAAGAAACAGGAGCAGGGTTAAGAGAGCAAGGCCAGCACTGCTGGCGGCGTTGGTGCCGTTTAGTCACTCATCAAACATCTGCTGGCCCAGCCAAGGGTGGACCCGCGACCAAGAGAGCCCGTGGGGGCCGGGCACCATGAACAGGTGTCACTGAGCACGACAGGAGGAGAAAGCTCGAAAGGGAGGAAAGAAGCAGGGCGGCCGGCCGGAGGGTGGCTGGGGTCCTCGCTCATCCGGGAGGCAGACCTGGCTGAGCGCGCAGACCTTGAGGAAGGACAGACCTTGTTGCCACCTGGAAAAAGGGCGTTTACGGCAAAGGTGCCTTCGCAGAGCAGCGCCGGGTTAACCGGGCTGGGCCTCCCTGGGGTTGGCAGCAAGGGCTGCAGTTCCCAGATGCCACCACCAGGTGGCAGGGTGCCCCCGGCTGAGATTCACCAGCTGTCCGGGAGCCAAGTTCTTTCTTCTGCAAAGAAGGAGCCGTTGGCAGGTCCCAAGAGACCAGGGGTGCAGGGGCACCTTGAAGAGTGAGGAAAAGGACAGCTGCTTGGAGCTTTCTGGGAACCATGGATCCCCTCGTTATGCCAATGGCTGCCACCCCAAGACTCACCTTTCAGCTGGGGCCTGGGCTCCCCGCAGACTTGCCACAGATGCTCCTGAGACCAGCCCCACCACGGGGCTCCCCTCAGCACCGGCAGGGGCGAGGGGCACCCTTGCTCGGCGGTAGGGTCAGTTGGGGCAGGAATCTCCCTTAAGGCTCCTGTAAGTACTGACCTGCAAAGCCGGGGTCCCCTCCAGAGGGTGCCGATGGAGGCAGAAGGCCTGGGCCTGGTGCTGGAGCATCAGGCTAGGACCCATGGGCCCAGCACATGGTTCCCTGCCCCCCACCCCCAATGGCCTGGCTCGTGTATCCCCCAGGACTTCTAATGAAGCGTCTCCCTGTGGCAGGCCCTGGGCAGGCCCAGGGCAGCAGCCTGGGCATCCCAGAGTGGGCTGCAAACCATGCCGGGGCTGAGCCCCCTCACACCATCTGTGGTTGACTCTGTTGGACACACACATCTCACGGCTGCCTGGGGCCAGGGGGCAGGTGGCAGGCTCCAGAGACCACAGGCCATGGCGCCCAAAACCTCCACTCTCTGAGCCTCTGCAGGGAGTGTGTGACTGCTGGTGCGGAGGCAGGTAGCTGCACCCTACAGGGGTGCTGTGGTCATAGAGGGGGGGTCAAGATGGAGATGCACTGGGGGGAAGGACCAGGTGTCCCCACCCTGGGGACCCCAACAGTCCTCGAGGCCACCGTGACGTGCCTCTGAAGGGTTGGGACGGGAGGGGCACGCTCACGTCCTGGTAGCTGCTGTGTGGAAAGGGGCTGGGGCAGGAGAGCCACAGCAAGGCCTGGCCAGGCCGGCAGTGAGGGGGGCCCGGCCAGGAGCCGTGGGGTGAGAAGCCCCGGCTGGTAGGACTACAGAGGGTGGACTCCGCGCTCGAGTGCCCAGCCTGCTTCTGGCTGTGTCCTGGCACTGCGGGGTCCCACGGAGGCTGGCCGAGCCTGCCAGGTGTGACAGCAGGTGAGACCAAGGTCATGAGTGGTCATTTGGGTCCCGACCTCGTCCCATGTGTGTGACCAACAAGGGTCGGGCTCCCCCGGAGGGGTGGGGTCTGGAGTGTTTGGGTCTGATTTTTAATGTGTGCATTTTACTTGGTAACAGTGAGAGGGTGACAGAAAGTTGCCAGATAATGTACGAGGCGGGTGCTTTACCCAGTGCCCTGGTGACGGGGGACCAGCGCTGCCATCGAACGAGGAAGCGGGGTCCCGGAGGACCAGCCTGGGAGGCTCTCGACCGCCCGCCACAGGGCACTTCGGGGCTTCCGCTTCGAGGCTCCTTTTTTTTTTTTAAAGATTTATTTATTTATACAGAGCTGGGGTACAGGCCAGAGGCGCGGGAGGGTGAGAGGATTCACCAGAGACAGCGGGGAGCAGAACAGGCAGATGGACCGAAAACACTGCTGAGGGGAGAAGCGGGGAGGCAGGAGAGGTCTGCCACGCCACGTGGGTAGCTCCCTGGCCGGCCAGGAATCAAACCCACCCTGCAGAGGCTGCAGACAGCTGCACAGCGCTGCGCTCCACCCACTGTGCCACCGGGAAGGCCCCACTTCGGGGCTCTTACAAGGAAGCTGCTGTGCCCATTTCCCGCGTGTGCTGTGGGGTCAGGGCTCACAGCTTCGCTGGTCGAGGATTGCGCTGCAGCCCCTTGACCTTGCTCTTGACTCTGACTGTCCTGAGCGGCCTGGCTGAGACTTGCTACTCTGGAAGCCAAATCGAGGCTTTGCCACAAGCTTCTGGAGCTCAGCGGGCTGGGCTGAGCACGTCACTTCACCCACATGGCACATGAGGCACGTGGTTGTTCCAGAGCCAGTTCCCGGGGAGTCCCCGCATGGCGCCTCAGCAGGCCCAGGCCAGCCTCTCCTGTGGCTGAGCTAAGGGGGCACTCACGCGGGCATCTGTGGGGGAACCACCCCTCTGGGGCCCGGCTGGGGCCAGGCTGGGCTCTGCAGCCCCTCTGCCTCCTGGGGCTCCCCGGGGCATCCTGGGGGAGACCCACCGGGCCCAGCCCAGCCATGGGGAGCAGACAGGGCAGTGTCGGTCCCAGAATTTTGGCTGCTTCCTTGGGCCACTTCCTAGAAGGCGAGCAGCACGGAGTCGCGGAATCCAGCTGCCTCCAGCCCCTGTAGACGGAGCCGCAGCTGGGCAGCGGGCACCTGGGTCTCC